AACGTGCAACAGATTTTATCCAGCTTGTCGAGCAAAGTTCTTTCTGCTGAAGAGGAAGTTCGGATAGCCTGTCCGAACTTCTCTAGAACGCTTTGAACTGAAGTAAAGGTGACTTGGAATAGTTTTTATAATTGTCATATTTTGGTTTACTGGCGAATCAGAATTTGACATGCAAAAGAGGGCTTATACAAACACCACAGAAACCCACGCCTCACGTCACAAATGAAGGTTCTGATTGGATCAGACAAAAGGAAATGTGTCATGTGACTTTAGCATTACTCTGTGTCATCACGTGTCTAGTGCAGCTGTCCAAGATCATAATTACTTGTAAAATACTACTGATCTGAATTATAATATCAGGTAATAACATTGCCATTTCACAGATTGATTGAACATTGGATTCACATTATAATTGGCTATAACAAACACTGTTTGATTATGTATTTATCAAGAGAGTTCTCCGTCTTGTCTTGAGCTGTAAAGAGGTGAAGCAGTTCAGATGAGCAGAGGCATGAAAGGCCTTGGCCAATATCTCATGTAGATTAGGCCTGTGTCAGAGACATTATGTCTCCACTCAAGCAGACGCAGCAGAGCAGGACCTGTAGGTCAAAAACAGGACATTTCATGATGCTACATATCCCCCTTTTCAAGGGCATGGTGGCCCAGGCAGAGACCACCTGATGCTGAACAAACCAGGGGCCCGAAGGACTCCGTCGAGAAAGCAAGGTGTAATTTCCCAGGCAGAGGCCAAAAGTGCTGAGGAACGAACCCCACACTGAAGGACAGTCGTGGATAATTTCCTTTGGAAGAGGTTAAATCAACAGTCAGCCGATCATTAATATAGCCACGTGAAGGGAAGTATTTCAAGCAGCAGCAGAACCTTGTATCTCCACAAGGAGGGAATAATTCAAACAGTAATTTGATCCTTGTAATAGCACTTAGCGTAATCCAGAGTAGGAAGAAGACGAGCAGGCAATGGATCAGGTCCCAGCGAACAAAGTATCCCAGCAGCCATAGCCGGAATCATCGGACGTCCAGGTCCAACGAGCCGGAACACCAAGCAGCAAGCTACACTTTAATTATTTTACAGGTTATTGCTCACACAGACAAGTATTGGTGAGTGGCTGCGTTTGACTGTTGATGCTCCGTGTGTGTTTTTATTTCCGCACTGAGAAAGCTCACCTCACTCCACCCGGAATTTGTTCTTTAAAACAAAGCTTCCTCTATGCCATATCATTCACTACAGGATGAAAATCTTACATAACTGCCACAGAGTAAATGCTTTTGTTCAAATTTTTGCCGCTGCACACTGGGTGTGAGGCAAGGGGGTGTGTGAGGCAGGCTGCAGAGAAGTAGCGACAGACAGCTGGTGTGATCAGCTCTGAAAGGGGTTGATCAGAATTTGCAGATCACAAGTTTTTTGCATGGAGATCGGTGGCAGATTCCGACTTTCAGGCAACAGACTGGGAATCGAAACCAGGAATCAAAATAAAAATATTTAAATGAATATAAAAACTGACAGTATCGGTTCCAATCGATGCTCAATGCCCAACCCTATAGGTGAAAGTTGAGAATAAATTTCAGTGGTCATGTGTGTCTGAGCAGGAACATATCAAAAACATGACCTGTCTGTTAGAGCTACAAGGTTATTTGAGTGTGTGGTTCAAGTTGTGCCATTCAGCTTTTTACAGACGGGACGTGGGAGCAGGGACTGGATTTATAGCTTATTTAGAGCTTCTGGGATGCACCTAGAAATTGCCGCATCGCTGCTGGTTTGAAACACTCCATAGGCTATCATGGATTCTATTTGAAGCAGTGGTGTTCCACACTTCTGATGCTTTCAGTGTGAAACCGGGGTTAGAAGTTGAGAATTCCAAAATAAATAGTTGAGTCCTTTAAGTGAAGATGCACTTTGTAAGACTGAGATGTGGTCAAGTGTGGTTACTGCAGTCCAGTCCATTTGTTCAGCAAAAAATTACCCTCGCACTTCCAGAGAACATAAAAGATAAAGTCAGAGTTCAAAAACTCTTCAGCTTCACTCCCCATCTTGACTGATCTGACCGGATTGGTTTGGAACTTTTTGTACTCCTTCTTTTCGTAGGCCCGGCCACATTATCAAAAAAAATGTGGGAGAAAGCTATTCCGCAGTCTGATAGGATTGGGCCTCATAGCGTCTGCCGGATGGAAGGAGAGAAAAGAGTCCAGGTGAGGGATGTGAGGGGTCACCAAGCCCCCACAATGCGGCTCAAAAATTGAGTCCAACCCGGAAGTACCAAAATTTGCAGTTCCACCCTCATCCGCTGGGGGCTGGTGTCAGAAGCGAGCAAATCCTCGTTGACTCCCATGTTGAAAATACCAATTTCACAGCAGAAATAAACATGTTTACAGCCGGGTACCAAAACATGTTTTTTGTTTAAATTATCTAGTTTACTCATGACAACTCTGAGGGGGGTGAATTTTTTTCTCACTCGTCTGTTTAAAAGTATTAAAAGCCTAAAATTCTGTATAATTAATGAGCATCAGATCCACGTGACCTCAGAGCTACCTCCGTGGAAAGGCCTCAGTAGAGCCTCGGTCTGGCTTGGAAACTGCTCCGGGATTTTGAGTCTCTGTGTGTGTGTATTCTTTTTTGGATATTTTTTGTGCAATTGTTGGACAAAATTAGTTAATTGCACTAATAGAGCGTCCAAGGAGTCTCCACTTCATTTTTTCGGTAAGTAAAATTATGTTTATGTATTTTAGGTCACTGCCGAGCTGAGCTTAGATTTTAACATGTACTGTTTAACCATTAAATTTAAATGTTATAGGGTAAAACCCAGTGCATTTAACATAATGCTGCACTTTAGAAAATGGGTTGAAATATAACATGGCGGAGCTGAGTTCCGACTATCGGCTTGTGGAGATCTCGGGAGAACGATGTTTTACACCCGTTTCTCCCCTCCCCGCAGCCCGGCGCATCTCTGTCTGATCGCGGCTTCTGTCTGCTGCGCAGGCTGCCAGCTGGTTCTCCCCGCAGCTCGGCGCATCTCTGTGTGATCGCGGCTTCTGTCTGCTGCGCGGGCTGCCAGTTGGTTCTCCCCGCAGCTCGGCGCATCTCTGTCTGATCGCGGCTTCTGTCTGCTGCGCAGGCTGCCAGCTGGTTCTCCCCGCAGCTCGGCGCATCTCTGTGTGATCGCGGCTTCTGTCTGCTGCGCGGGCTGCCAGTTGGTTCTCCCCGCAGCTCGGCGCATCTCTGTCTGATCGCGGCTTCTGTCTGCTGCGCGGGCTGCCGGCTGGTTCTCCCCGCAGCTCGGTGCATTTCTGTCTGATCGCGGCTTCTGTGTGCTGCACGGGCTGCCGGCTGGTTCTCCCCGCAGCTCGGCGCATTTCTGTCTGATCGCGGCTTATGTGTGCTGCGCGGGCTGCCGGCTGGTTCTCCCCGCAGCTCGGCACATCTCTGTCTGATCGCGGCTTCTGTCTGCTGCACAGGCTGCTGGCTTTTGAAGCTCTGGATGGAAACTGATTTTTTCCACCCGTTCTCCCCTCCCCGCAGCTCGGCGCATCTCTGTCTGATCGCAGCTTCTGTCTGCTGTGCGGGCTGCCAGCTCGTGGAGCTCTGGGATGGAAACCTTTCCACCCGGTTCTCCCCAGCGGCAGCTCTGTGCATCTCAGATCGCAGAGGCACTTGTCTGCTGTGCGGCTGCCAGCTTGAGGAGGTCTTGGAGACCTCTGTGTTCCACCCGGTTTTACCCAGCGGTCAGCTCTGTTGTGCACAGTTAACTCCGTTGTAGCTAGGTTGCTACCTCCATTAGCTTAGCTCCCACCTCCGCGTTAGCTTTGGGTTAGCTTCAGGTTAGCTTGTAGCTAGTTCGACCGGGTGTCGTCAGTTGATCCCAGCCTTACAGCCCCACCCTCAGCTCCACCTCTCTTCCCTTTTGTGGAATTGTCTGGGCTTGACGGAACCTGTGACACAGACGGTCAAAATGGCGGTGGTGGCCACCTCCCATTAAGCCTCAAAAATGTGTTATTGGAGCCTATGGAAATGAATTGTCCAGTATATATGTCGATGGGGGTCACGCACAATGCTGGAGGCCTTACTGATGCAACAGTTGTGGAAGATGTCCTGTAACATAGGGAGAGGTGTTCCAATGACCTTGGTTGCTGTTTTGCAGAGATTGCCAACATGGCAGTGGCTGAACCACATGAGAATATAGCTGGTCAGAATGCTCTCTGTGGTGCACCTGTAGAAAGTAGTGAGGATGGGAGGAGGGAGGTTGGCCGTCTTCAGGTGTCTTAGGAAGTGAAGTCGCTGGTGGGCTCTTTTGGTGATGGAGATAGTGTTAGTGGACCAGGTGAGGTCATCTGAAATGTGAACTTCCAGGAACTTGATGCTGTTTACAGTCTCTACCATGGAACCACAGATGCTAAGTGGAATGTGGCTGGAGTGGATCTTCCTGAAATTGATGATCATCTCCTTGGTTTTGACCACATTCAGTGACAGGTTGTTCTATCTGCACCAGAGCACCAGCTGCTGATATTCATCTCTGTATGATTGTATGATTAACTCATTCACGTCATTGTTGGTCCTTTGCAAGTTGCTTGAGATATTTTTAGAGCCAACTATTTGCTTCTAATTCACCATTAGCATTATTAGCTCAATGTTAGCTTCTAGCCTGCTTCAGCCAATATTAGACTAAAACAAAGAGACGAACTGGATTTTTAAGGGTACAAAAAATAACTTTAGGGTTATGTCTGTTTATTGGCTTTGGTTCTTTAAACAACTCTGGAGCTTTTTGCCTGTCAGTGTTGATGCCTGCACTGCTGCATTAGCTTGCTGCAGTATAAACTGTAACTACATCCTGCGTTCACTTTTTCTTTAAAGGAGAAACCCTGGCAAAAGACTGAAATCTGTTTCCTTCCAATGTGACCGAGACATTAAACTGTTTTGTGATTATTTCACGGCAGAATTCTTACAAATTGCACCTTTAATCACAAACTAAAACCATCTACATCAAACTTACCTTAAAGAAAGTCATAGTGGAGCCATCTTCTACCACTCCATATTCTATTCTGGTCTGCTTGGCCAGATCATCAGCAGAGTCGATGGGTGACTCCATCCTCTCCACAGTGAGGAAGGCAGCCAAGTTAGCCGTGTATGAGGAGATGATGATAAGAGTGAAAAACCACCAGATTCCTCCCACAATTCTGGTGGAGAGAGCTTTAGGCATGAGCTCAGATCCTAAATGAGAGGAGCACAGGACATAGTGAGGCTGGAGGGCTTTGAAGACCAGTTCTGTGCATCTGCTGTTTGAACCCCTTACAGTGTGTTAGTGGACCAAATAGGCAGTGCCACTGTGGCTATTTGGTCTCACAATAGTTCTGAAACTTTTGTGTCTGGTGGATTTTTTAGGGTGGTTTTGGGTGCCTCCAAACAAAACTAAACTTAATCTTTTGTTCTTCGTAACCTCATGCAATCCTGTGATTTACTGTTTTAGTCATGAACTGGAGCGACAGGGGAAAACAAGTCAAACTGAGCCAGTTGGACAGGTTTTATTTGGGCAGCTTCTAAGATGATGAGTGCAATTCAACTCCAGTGTTTTCTGATAACACGTTGCATTCATCTTACCATCAATGCTGGTCAAGTTGCATCGTCCTATGTGGCTCACTTGTCCCCAAACATCAGCGACCCATCTCCATGTTCAGGGCCGAAATATGATCAAAAAGGCCTCTGGGCACAAAGTGTTTGACCCCCCATTTTCTTCCTCGTTCATCCACACTCCCTCACCTGCATGCAACCATTGGCCAACCAGAAACTCACTACCCCCTCGACCTTAAAACATTCCTATCATTTAAACAATGTAAAGTTCTAAAGATTTTTAAAGTTGTTAAAGGGACTGAAGTGACTGGGGAGGCACAATGTCATCACTGATGAAACACTAAATAAAAATAATAAATAAATAAATAAATAAATAAATAAATAAATAAATAAATAAATATTCATCTTAAAATATAAAACTTAATTAAAATACATACTGTATTGACCTGAATAAGACAAGGTTATTTCGTTGAAAATAATTTTAAAATGTGGGGTTGTCTTATAGCTGAGGTCTAACCACAGCGGAGGGTGCCAGGCTGTACGTTCTCAACAGGAGAAAAAAATGGAGACGAGCGGTCCGGAGCAGAGTGGACCGAAAGTGGGGCAAGTTAACAAGCTATAAGGCAGAGTTATGCAAATTTTTATGATGACAGTGGTCAGTTCAGCAGAGGCATCAAACATTGCATTGCATTGGATGGCGGTGAGGATGACGTTCTGGGAGCAGTCGGCAGGTGTAGCGATCTGACACCCATCTACAGCGGGACTGCAGCAGCATGAGAGTGAGTGAGTAGAGCGAGGCAGAGGACGTCTGTATAAAAGCCTCATTTGACTTTTGATTTCACGTGTCATCAAATTTCTGATAGTTTGCATTAAAATTGTATTTTTGCTCAGTATTTGTTCTCGAATTTTCAACAAAAATTGTTTATTTAAAAAGTCTTTTCCTGAAGATCAGTCTTGGAAAGGGGTCATCCTATAAGCGAGGTCGTCCTATATTCGGGTCAATACGGTATTTATAGTAAATAAAGATTACAAAAGGTATGAATACCTTGGTAAAATAAGAGCAAACTGTATAAATCAGGGATGGACAACTCCCTTGCCCGATGACTGGTGTCCAGCATATTTTAGTTGTTTCCCTGCTTCAACACATTTGACTCACTTGTTCATCAAGCTCTGCAGAAGCCTGTTGCTCACCAGCTGGTTAAAATCAGGTGTGTTGAAGCAGAGAAACAACTAAACATGCTGGATACCGCCCCTCAGGAAAGGGAGCTGTCTACACCTGGTATAAATCCTTCACCCAACCAGTAGCCATGAATGAAAGTAAAGCTTTGTGAGAAAAACCCATATTCCCTAAAAAATGACAATAAATAAATAAATAAATAAATAAATAATAAATAAAAATAGAATTATATCAGTTTGTAAACTTTTGCGTTCATCTGTACTGAGGACAACTGAGAACACCTGGTTTTGTTTTTCTAAGTCACACCAGCTATGAGCACAGAACTGAAACATGTTAGCAGACTCGTGTTTCTGTTTCATCACAGAAACCTGGAAACAGAGCAGCCTGCTCCAGCAGGCTGGACCCAGACGGTCTGGTTGGTGCTGACTGTCATGCACCCAAGGCAACGTCATGACCAAACAGCACATCCCACAGTTTTCTGGGGGAGGGGGGTCGCAGCAAGTTGCCATGCAGGGGAGCCTCTCTACAGTTCAAACCAGTACCGAGGTCTCACCCAGACCAAATCCAAAACCGCATCCACAGATCTGCCTCACTGGTGCTCGTTTAACCTCCACAGAGGGCCCTATAAACAGCACCTACATCATTTAAGTTTTCTATTACCTGTTAGATTTTCTACAAGAATAACGGATGCAGCACATCTAAAATACTTAATCAACTTTGTAGATATTAGTGAACATGCGGTATATATAAATGATAGCATGCAGCCAGAAAACAACAGAAGACTAAGACTTATGCTGAGTTAAGTGATGAGAAAAAACTTGGATGCTACATTTAAAGGGTCACTTCAAACAAAAAAAGACAAAATCAGATTTTTTTTGCATCTACATACGTATAAGGATGTAATCGTACAAATACGTTCATCTCTGTTTAACAAAAGAAAATCATCAGTATAAACAGTTCAGATGGTGGCACATGTTGGGTGAAAACTGAAGTGAAAGGTGTGAAAATCCTCCAAATTAACAACCACCAAATAAATCCCAAAAACAAAAACCTTCACGCTGTTTTTACAGCTATTCTATTTATCATGGAATTGTGTCAGAAAACATTGAACAGTTAATTTATTTGGTTTTAAGGTAAGAGTTTCATTTCAAATCTTGCAATCGTACAATAAAGCCGCTGTCGTTTCGTGTCAAATTAGCACTAACCCTAACCCTTCATATGCTGCAGGGTGGTAAAAATGACTAACTATACTCCATTCCCTCAATTTTCCTGGAACACACAAACACAGTGAAGACTTTGCACAGCTCTGTTAAACATGTAGGTATTGTACTGTGTTTTATGCAAACGAACCCTGAATGCAGAGCAAATGCTACCATGCTGCCCAGACACCAGACTACAGTCACTGTGCTGCACCGACCTGTGCTCTCATCCTGTCATGCACTGAAAAGGGCAAAAGCCACTTCATTTATGTATCATGACCTATGAAAAGCCCTTCTGTTTGATGCCAACCAGATGAGAAGATATGGCAACTCTTTAAATCAGTGTTTTCTGTTTGGTCATACCTGTTGACTTTGTTATGAATGGGTGAGGGGAACATGAAGGGAGTCATAAAAAATAGGGAAACATGCAAGAGCATTATGAAAAATGATCAGTTTCATCATTCCTTTCAGTCCATCTTTCAATACTCTGCCTGTGGAGTATCTAGCTACATGCACAGAGGCCCCCATGCACAGCCACAGGCCTGGTCAAAGAGGAAGGTGGACCCCCAGTAAAAAGTGGGACCTGTGCTAGCAAAAGAGAGGCAGGCAAAGGCGTCTACCTTGCTGCATGAGAGCTCCAACTCCGAACCAGAAACTATTAAGCAGGGTGAAATTGTTTTCCACTAGATCCAAGTCTGGGTTGCAAGGATGGGGGTTATACCACTCATACGGACTAAACCTGTGATGATTAACAGAGAACAAACAAACAAATGTTCAGTTTTGATTCTGCATTAAAAGTGCGAGCGGGAGCGACCCTTCCACCTAGAGAGAAAAAGACAAAACAAGGGTTAGATATGCAGACAGGGCCGTGAATTCAGACTATTACAAGTGTTAAAAGAAACAGTAACTTAAACAGGCTTTTCAAAGGAAAGAGTTTTCTGGAATTTGATAAAGAAAAACAAATCTAATTCTTTAAAGGCATATTTTACCACTAAATGAAGTTTAGTCTGTTGCCATTTTCCCCAGAGTTAGACCAGTGGGAAAAAGCATATAACCCTCAGAGTCATTCTCCTAATCTGGCTGTATTCCATTTGCTTTAGCTTAAATAATGATGCTGAATAGTAACCGATGTGATTCCACATGAAAAAGAGATGAAAGTTATTTAATAACAATTCAGGATGTTTTGGGTGACCTCAGTAATCATACTGACTGCAAATGAAAATAATTAGAAACAAGGAGGAACTACCAGAGTTGATTTAGTCGATATGTACTCTGCCATTTGTTCTGCAACCTACTATGCTGCTCCCTCAAATGACTGTACCAGGTATAGACTTGGTAGCCACGCATTTGTGTTTAAGGAAGTAGGTATCTTTTAAATAGCCATTTTTACCATGCTAGCTGCTACCATTCACTTATATTGTTTATGCTAAGCTAAAGCAAACAGAAAAATACCAGATAAGGGGAGTGGCTGGACCACTTATCTAAATCTGGGGAATGTGGATTCAGTTTCACTTATGGGGTGGAATATCCCTTTAACAAAAAAGGATCAATTTTTCTGTGAATATGTTTATTAACCCTTCTGTTGTGTTAGGGTCAAAATTGACCCGTTTTCAAGTTTAACTGTGTAAAAAGTACACTTTCCTTTTTTGTCCTGGAATGAGGCTTTGTCTAATCCTCAGACACACCTATTTAAATGCAGCAAAATCAATTTTCACAATTTTAGTAAACTCTAAAGGTCTAAAAAAAAAAAGAGTTACATCTGTGGTGTTACTGGTCCAAAATGACCTGGCAGAGAAGAGGGTTAAAAGCTATGGGTTGCTCTGAGGAACAATCATGGCCCAATGTGCACAGTTATGGCCCATAACACCATATTATTTTCAAAGTTCAGTTTATAGTCAATACAGGTGCATGTGCGTGCACAAAACCATACACACAGTGTTGTTTATCATTGTTCTTTTTATGGTTAAATTGTTTGGTTAATTGGTCTGGTTAACTAAAAGTTGGTTTTATGGGGGAAAAAATTGACTTGTTGTCTTTATCCTACCATTTATCTTTGCGGGTTCGTTTTGACCCAAAACACCAAAGATGTCACTATTGTTAATCATTTTAAATAGTAAAAAAAAAAATATATTAATTTTTTTTGGTAGGTGTACTCTAATATTAGTTCAGAATTTATAGTTTATTATTACTCATTCTATAAGAAAAAGAAATATATTTAGTGAATTTAAACAGTTTTTGCTATCAAAAACGAGTGGTATATTTTAAAATACTGTGTCTGTGGAGCCAACTAAAAAACTATTTACACACTGGTTCCATGTATATGAACACATACTAAGCCAGCAACTAGCTGAAAAACAGCATTTGAAGAAAACTGTTGATTTTAGGCATTTTCAAGCATTTTTAAATCATAGGTCCAAATGGACCCACTAACACCACAGGTGTAAACAATACAAGGGTTAAAATATGATCTGCAATGTAGATACAGTATAAATGTAAATGTGTATAAAATAACATTTGTTTCCATATGAATGAAAATGATAGCATGGCTTTGGTTTTCAAAATACAGACGATAGACAAACGAACCAAAAGGAAATGGTTTATCTGAACATGGGATGTTAGAAACATTAACCGATAATAATAAAACAAAAATCTTAGCATGTTCAAAAAGAACACAATGAAGCCAAAAGAGTGGGGCTGACCATAACACACAACACATTCTCACACCTGAAGTGGCTGAAACTGAGGAAGAGTGACCAGGCGTTTGTTTCTGACGCGCTGGGAGCCCCAACGCAGCGGAAACAAGCGCTTCGTATCCCTTCATCAGTTTCAGCCACTTCGGGTGTGAGAATGTGTTGCAACACATGATCAGATAAAGCTAACCTCATAAATGATAAATGACCCGCACTTGTATAGCGCCTCTCAGAGTAAGGACTCCAAAGCGCTTTACACTACAGTGTATCATTCATCCATTCACACACACATTCATATACACTGGTGGGGATGAGAGGCGACCATAGCACACAACACATTCTCACACCTGAAGAGGCTGAAACTGACACAAAAAACCACAGCTGTCAGTACGGTGGTGGAGGGATGATGGTTTTTGGTTTTTGGAGGAAGTTTGGACCTTCTAGTCCAAAACTGCATATCAAAACATGCTACAGACAAATGTGCAGCTTGGCAGTTAAAGCTTTGATTAAAGGAATACATCAGTAATCTGTGTCTCTGTGAAAACGCTATAATCCCTGTTTTACATGTGGTGGATCACTTTACACCACTGTCAGGCTCGCATCAAGCGGTTATTTTGGCAGCAATGGCGAGAACCGTATTTGTTTGCTGATGGTGATGCCGATCAATCCACCCATCTTATCCAGCTCTATTATTCCATATAAAGCCAAAAAGCCCATCTCAGGTGAGGCTCTATTGTGTACGTATTTTCACTTCAATTCTATGACAAGACTTCCGAGGGTTTGGACTTAGCACCACTCTAAAAGGGACTCCACATGTGGGCGTGCTCATGTCAAAGGCAATTCCTTCAGCAAATTTAATTGATGGCTTCTGAAAATAACTCCACAGTCAGAGAGCAAATAAGTAATAATCCCCATAATCCAGGAGGAGCATTAATATTCAGCAGATCAAACGGTTCGTTCCCATCGTGCCCACGCTGGACCTGGTGCTGACTCTCACTCAGTGCACACATTTCTCATTTATTCATGTTAAATAAAAGGGACTTTATGTAGTAAAGGTTGATTGGGCTAGATTTTGGCATCCTGACCTGATTTGGTTTGAGCTGCAGTGATGGGGGGTGGGGGGGTGGGGGGTGGGGGGTGGGGGGGGGGGGTGGGGGGGGGGGGGCAGTTCCTGTCTTGATTCAGGCTGCTTGACTCAGAGTCTGGCTGATCAAACAGAGAGGAACCATATGAACTAGCCACGGCTCTACACCCGCAGTAGCAGGTATGAAGGGAGCTCCAGCTGAAAGCTGAGATGTTAATCCTCATCTGGACGAATATTGTAATGTGACACAGAAGATGAAGATGGATGGTTGGACTGATGAAATGACAGCATCCTACCAGACACTGACTGGTGGCTTTCAGCGGTACAGAGCGGGTAGTGAAGGTGTTTCTTTCACCCCTACAACCGTTGAAGGATATTGTGTGGTGCGGCTCAGGGACCTCTGAACGTCCCTCTGATTTCTACTTTAGGAGAGAGCTAGACCCTAAATCAATCTGTCCGCTCACTCAATTTGCTCCAGATTTGCTTGCTTGTCAATTTGCCTTGCCAAATTGAGTTCAGCTGAACTGCGACCTTGCCGTCGCGCGTGACCCAATGTCTCGCATGAAGACGTGAGAGTGTCGCATTGTGAAGAGTCAATCACTACTCGTCTAGAAGACCGATGAGTGAACGTGTCATCAGCCTGCTGCTTCTGCTGATTAGGTCAGAAAAAGCTAAACCAACATTGTTTACGGGAGACAAGACAGTTTAACCCGCGTGTCTCACAAAAGATCAGCTTCACTTGTTTGGTGTCACTTTTTTTCAATTACTGTAACCTCACATTATCTCAGGTCATCTGTCCTAGAAAGGGGGGAACTTTTGGCAAGGTCAGCACAGAGATAAGAGGAGGAAAAAAAACAATCAGCTGCAACTGGGAGACAATGTTGGGGATTTATCTCATTGTGTGGGTCAGGTCTTCCAGAAGAACTCTGCTGTGATAATACACGATAAGATCAATGTCAGAGGGATGAATGAAGGCTCCCGTGAGACCATCATGGACTACAAATCCACATCATGTTAGAAATTCAGCAGTGAGGAAGATATACAAATGTCTCCTGCTTCATTTTTCAGAGGGCATGTTTTTCACCACAACACCCTCCCTGTTTCAGGATTTCACACAGAAAGGTGAATCTAACAGGAACTACCTTTCCTGAGACGTTTTCCTTAATTAAACTCAATACATGCAGATTTGACACATATGCCTGTTTTCTATGAAAAGCAGCCTCTGACAAACGAAAACGACAGCTGTTCTGTAGAGACCAAGCCCTCCACTTTGTCCGCTTTCACTGAGGTTTACTTCCAGTCAGTGGCTGCTACTCTTTCTGCCACAGTCATGCATAATAAACACTGTTTCATACTTAGGATTTAAGTTAACTTGACAGTTAGATGGAAGAAAAAACCCTGTTTGGTCAGTTTTGTAAAAATGAACCTTTTTATGGTCGCACAAAGAGGTTAAAGAATGTCTGAAACATCACAGTATTTTTGTTTTCTTTTAAAGTGTCATTTAAAAATATGCGAACAAAGAAGAAATGTTTGGCAAACAGCATGTTTGATCAGAGCCAAACAGCTGTCGGCACCATGGTGGAGGACTGCTGCTTGGTGCTGCCTGCAGGCTTCAACTCCTCTGGATACTGAAGCCCTTTTGATTTATTATTTGTGATGTTGGGTCTTTAGATCTGTGCAAAGACACGTTATTGTGACAAAACAATGTGATACTTAATGCAACAGATTTTAACTTAAACTCCGGTTTCCCAATGGTTGCGTAATGTAACAGACGTGTTTTACCTGTGAGCCGCCTTCCCATAGGGAACGCTTCAGATGGAAAATGGCAGCGAAAGCTTTCCACACATCTGGCCCTGTGAGTTCCGGCGTTTTGCATGATAACAAGCAAAGAGAAAGATGGCAGCATGTATCCAAAAAGGTCTGTGGTTTCTTTTCTGTTCTGTTTACCTCGCTACCGAGGTTTCA